TTGGCGTGACCTGAGTCAACATTGACTATTTGTCGTGACAAATTGTATCGTGATATTTCAAGTTTTAACGTCTAGTGGGGCGAACAGCTAACCTGCAAGGATCAAATCTATACTGTCAAGCAAATGTCAGACTTTCAGCATTTATTGTGGTCCGTTCGATCAGTGGTAAGATAACCTTATAACGGGTGATTTTTTAAGAGGTATAGGATTTGATTTTCAAAAAAAAAACACAAAAAATTTGAAAAAACGATTAAATCTTTATTTGAGTCGATAGAATGGTCGATATAATTTAATGTTTAAAGATTATTTCATGTAAATGTTGGCCGCGGCTCCGCTTTAGATGGCCCATGCGCAAGGTCCAATTTTGGCACACTCTCTCCAACATATCGGCCGGTATCTCACGAATAAATGCTTCAATATTGGCTTCCAGTGCGTCAATCGTTGCTGGTTTATCCCTGTAGACATTAGCCTTAACATGGCCCCACAAGAAATAGTCGAACGGCGTTAAATCACACGATCTAGGCGGCCAATTGACGGGCCCTAAACGTGAGATAAACTGTTCACCGAACTCGCCTCTCAATAGGGCCATTTTTTCGTGTGTGGTGTGGCATGTGGCACGGTCTTGTTGAAACCACATGTCAGCCAAGTCCAGCTATCCATTTTGGGCAAAAAAAAGTTTGTTATCATCGCACGGTAGCGCTCGCCATTTACAGTTACGTTCCGGCCATTGTCGTCTTTGAAGAAGTACGGCCCGATGATGCCACCGACCCATAATCCACACCAAACAGTGTTTTTTTCGGGATGCATTGGTAGCTCTTGCAATGCTTCTGGCTGGTCTTCACTCCAGATGCGGCAATTTTGCTTGTTAACGTACCCTTCAACCAGAAATGAGCTTAGTCGCTGAACACAATTTTTCGATAAAAATGTGGATCTTCCTCCAACTTTGCCAGCGCCCATTCACCAAATTGGAAACGTTGTGGGAGGTCGTGCGGCTTCAATTCTTGCAACAGCTGTATCTTATAAGGTTTTACACCCAAATCCTGTCGCAAAATTTTCCACGTAGTGGAGTAACAGAGGCCCAATTGCTGCGAACGGCGGCGAATCGACAATTCACGGTCATCACTAACACTGGCGGATACAGCCGCAATATTTTCTTCAGTCCTCACTCTACGTCTGCGTGTTGGTGGTTTAATGTCCAATAATGTAAACTGGGTTCGAAATTTAGTCACAAGCTTCCGAATAGCTCCCTCAGTAGGTCGACCAAATTGCCCATAAATTGGACGCAGTGCTCGATGCACTCTCTTAACCGATCATGAATTTTGATAGTAAAATTCAATAATTTGCAAGCGTTGTTCGTTCGTAAGTCGATTCATGGTTAAATTATAGACCAAACTGAACAAGTTTGACAATGACACAAGACACGATTCACGCGTCATCTGTCAAAAACAGTGTTGCCAAAAAGATACTAGCAAAAAAATCACCCATTATATCAACAAACACTTACATCCAAGCTGCACGGTCAATAGATACTTCATGCCATTATAAATCCTAACATATCACAGTAGATACTGATCGTGTGACATTTGGTTTAGCTGTGATGACTCAGGACCATATTCAGAACTATTTACACCGAACAGCGCAGCGATGTGAATTTACTTCCACATACATATTTCCACCGACTGGGAGTCCGAAGAAGCTTTCAGAAAATATATATATATATATATAATAAATACAAAAGACCGTTCCCTCTTAACACATATGTATACACATTATTCAGTGTGGGTCGTGACGATAATGGGGTATTTTGAATGTCACTAGAACGTCATCTGTTAAACGTATCGTGCTGACTTTAGGGCGGCAGCTAATTCTATTCATGTTACGGCAATGGATCTCTCTTATGTCGTGTTCGTAATTTGAAATCACGTCGATTTTTTCAAATTTGAATATCATTTACATACGAATTGGCCATGAGCAAGATCGTGCCATGGATTTCTTCACGAAACTTCTTAGAATCTCTGAATGAAAGATTTTGGATATTTATACTCTTTTAAAAGTTGGAATTATCATACATCATTTATCTGAAATATAAAAACAACATTTTGCGATTGTTTAGGTTCCATTTCAAAATTTTTATCACCCAACTTATTACAGCCCCAATGAAGACCAAAATAAGATGTTACATTACTAAACGAAATAAATATCATATCCATGTAACCCAAACTATTTTTCTAGCCATTATTGAAGGGAAGATATAATTGATATTGTCCAAAACGTTACTTATGGGTTTTTTACTTATGGCTTGGAACCCAAGTTAGCAGACGTTTAGCTCAGCATCAAGGCCAACTGTTGTGTCTTGAACTGTTTTCTTCTAAAACAAACAATATGGTGCCCTTGTGGGGCCGCAGTACTTCTCGCATTTCTGATCCACCAACAATGCAGATGCAACATTAGTAGCCGACGATTGCATCACAGTCAACCGTAGGTTTTCACGTTCTGGAAGTCGTTTTAAGCCGCGTACAGACCGAAAACTAACGCCGAGCAAACGAATGCAGGCACATGTAACGTTGGCGTTTGTTGTTGGAAGGTATTGGAATGCGCTCGTCTACACCTAAATTTAGTTTCGAGTTGGACCGCGTTGGGCTAAGTTCCGAGCTAATGTCGAGCAACGAGTCTCCTATCATCGAATGCAGATAAACGACTAAATACTACAAGCGCAACAATTCTATCCAGACCAAATCAAACCTCCCTTTGATGTACCGTTCAAGGAGCGAACGCAATCGGACGCCAACGCCGACCTTGGAAACCGTTGGCTTATGTTGGGCTCGCGCCGTACACACCGATTCAAACACCTTCAAATCTGTAACCACATGTGCCTTGGCTTGCGTTGGAATCTCGGTCTGTACGCGGCTTTACGCTTTCGGGGCTGTAAGTGGGGGTGACGTGTCTGATCAATCCAAAACAACACTCGCTGGTCCACTTTTTAACATACTGTATCGAAGCGGAAAATCAAACGAACCTGGAAAACACATAAATATAATATATCGTCAGTAAAGAGTAATTTCAACATATAAGTTTTCATTTGGACAGAAAAACATGGAGTTCTGTCAGATATAAAATTTCTCTTAATAGCAGAAAAACTGTAAACTGCAAGGAATTAAGGCAATGCTTTTTATAAGATATTAAATACGGATGAGATTTAATGGGTTAAAGTGGAATTCAAGGTCCCATAATTATTCATACAAATCTTATTAGCTGTATAATAATTTCAATTAATTTCAGGTCATAACAATTTAGATAAAGCGCGCTTACGAAATGTAAAACACTGTAGGTAATAATGTTGCTTTGCATAATCTGAAAATAGTATTATTGAAATAAATAATGTGTACATGCATACATATCATTCCGTGCTAAAATCTCTGCGCATTCTCGGAATATTCTATGACTAATATGCTTAGTAGACAATTACAAAACCACATAAGTAACGAAAGTAAATAACGTCCATGCATGTGTATCCAGTGGCGGGACGTTTTACATAATATAATATCTTGGTCCATTTAAATCACTAAGACTACTACAGAAAATGATCTGCTTGAAGGATAATGTATATTCAACAGAATAATACTAAGAACGTTTCTAAGGAACAATGTTTCTCTTTATTTCACCTTTTAGCTTACCGTTTATTGTACAGTATGTAACAATATTAGTGGAACGCCTCCAATTTTTTTTAGATGAGGTATTCTTGAAAAATGTCAAGATATACTAACTTTGAAGGAATTCACCTCAGCCTCAGGATTATTTCAAGGACAGTTTTTATTTTTTATATGGAATGTCCCATTATTTATATCGGCAATCGGAGTGGGATATTCAGCGTAAGATTGTGCATAAAAATATGTCATCAAGCTCACCTTTGGAGGTAATATGAAAGTCAAATGTGTGAAGCTACCAAAATTCCTAAAAGTTTAGTAGGATTATTGATAAAGAAATGATTGAGGAGAAGTATTTCAACGGTGACCTTGGATTGAACATTGATCGTCACTTCCAAAAACATTCTTAGGATAACATTATTTTTATAAAAGAAATCGCCTGATACCGAACATGGAAAATCTTGCGTCCTCATAAGTTTTCATATACCTACTACTACGACCTTGTAAGTGAAGCTCAAGGTCGAAGTCAATATTGTATTCCTCGTTAAATCTCTCGACGTGACATTGATCTAAAATTTCAATACATACTCGGAAAGATAATTTTCCGTTTTTCCGATCGCGTTTTAGTAGGTTTTTACATAATCTCACACTTCGGGGAGGAAAGTGTAATAAGCGTAAGATTACTGGGGTTGGAAGCGTATTAATATAATATCGCCAACAAAAGGATATATATCAAGGGAAGGTGGAAACGTTGTGGTATGTACTATTGTAAATGATCAACATAAAACTAAAGACCTCGTTTATCTAGCTACTTGGATTGTACCTGTTCTGAATGAAATCATATACTAATTGTCACTGTGATCATACTTGATTCTCTTACACTATAGGGTATGTATAGTTTTAATTAAGGTTCCAGCCTCTCTTAAAAAAAAATAATACTGCGTGTGATAAAATACTTAATTGTTAGTGTTTTCAAATAAGTCCCTTCCAAAAACGCTAATACTTGAAGTTTTTCATCAAAAAAATTAAAATGCTGAACTTTTGTGATACAGTCGGTCATGACGTGACCTATTTGCAGCTGTTGGTATATCCTTCATTTTCTGGACAGCCGGTATACATCAAAGTAGAACTTTCTGTTCCGTGACCATGCCTACAACATAAGTGCTATTATCGATGCTTCTTTAGTCTATATGCACTTAAATGCAAGCCTAACTGAACCACTATCTAATGATTGTCTGTATTTTCAGGTGCCGTACGAGTCTCAAAACAAAACTGCAACTCCGGTAAGCTGTTCTGCATTTTGTTGCTTTCTTAAAAACCTCATACTTATTCGTAATCGTAGTACTGCCATTTTTTCACCACTGCACTGTTTATTTTTGCGGAACTGTTATGAAACAATTTGATACCGCAAATTCAAAGAGAATCGGAGTTATGTGATGCATCTACGATCATTAGAAATAAAACGCCAATTGAAAATATTTGTGTATGATACGCCACTGCACCGTAAATGCGTTTTATCAACAATATACTCGACAATTTCGTGATGATAGCTCGTGACATTGCGCACACAAAAAACAGTTTTATACCGACCGACAATAATGCACATGCTATTATTGACATTTTCTGTGGTGCTACCATATTGTGATGCTATAAGATGCTATGAATGCTACATAGTGCCCACGCACCCATATAAATTCAATGCTAATGCCAGTGTGAATGTGTGTGACAAGTTTGACTACTCGCAGAAGTTTGTAACTGAATGCGTGAATAGTACGTTTTGTAGGAAGACTATTTATAAGGGGAGTGTCGAGGTTCCACTTTTGAGAGTAGAGAGGGGTTGTGCTAATCAGGATTACTACGGACTACGGTAAGTGGATCATACCGTATTGGTATTACAAAAAAATTCACCTTCACAGTCAAAAAAGTGTGTTGCATCACGTTTGTGTTGCATATCGGCGCTTAGGTTCTAATCCTGCCTAACTCAAAACACCGGCGCACAGTAGTCTATCTATGCGAAAACCTGTCAAACATTCAAAAAACGAAGTCTCAAAAATGAACTAAAATTATTATTTATTTTAAAGCTAATACCTTAAACAATATGTTGGCTATGGAATGAGAACTGTGGTTACAGTACATTTACCATGATGTTTATGATGTATCGTCGGACACTACTTTTTAACTGCAAAATTAGAAAGTTTCTGTTTCATCCGTTGTGTTGTGTGTTGAAAATATTTCAACATCTGGATATGGATCATAATAGAGTGCGAACTTTCGTTTGGCTTAAGAGACGTGATAAAAAACTGTTATTGTTTTTGTTTTTATTTGCCCCAAATAGAATAAATAATGTTTCTCAACCTTGAAGTACTGCCAGAAAACTACAAAGAAATATAATCTTTATATTCTGTCATATTATGGCAGGTCGTCGAAAACCTTGCATGCACACGGGTTCCCCTTTCCCGTGTATCCCCGTATGACCCCGCGGTACCCATTGGTGTTTAGGCATTAGGCCCTCGTGATGGTTAAAAAATATAGGAAACAATGCCTTCATGGTGCCTAATCGATCTCTGGTTTTGACTCAACTGCTCGGCTTCTTTTGAAAATGTCATTGATATGATCTCTAATAAATGATTTTTCTGCACACGCATGAACAATAATTAATGTGACAGAATATGGCAACGCCGTGCTATCAAAAGTTCCATCGACTCCTTCCCCCCTGTTTACTGTGATCGATCGTCGATGTCCTGTGGTCTATTCTTCAACGACACTTGTTTTGTGATGTTGTTTCGCGTCAAGGTATTGTTGGAAAATGGAATTTTGAGCTAGGCGGTGCTAGAACTAAAATTCGTTGTCCTTTTTGTCCTAAGTGTGAGACTGACAAAAACAAAATCATACTTCCCCTGCTTATCCATCACATAACTTTACTAGGCAGAGCTTGTTGCTTTTCGTAATGAGCCAGTCTTCCGTCTTGCCATTCATTTCTAAAAGCTTCCGCGAATTAGCTGTAGTCATATACCTTGGATTTCAATTGGCATCCTAAATGAGCTGAAATTTGAATCTGTGTGTGTTTATCTAGTAAACTATTCACATTCTGTTTCTTACAAAGTCATTGATATTCTTCTTCCGACGCCTAATTTCAGATTTCACTGATAGGCTTGGAAGTTCCATGGATATGCAATAATTTTAATAACATGATAGATATATCATCGGTAATGATGAAAACATGTTTGCTTGTTTGATATGTTACGTCGCAGTACTTGATCGTCCAGTAAGATTTGGAAAACCAACTAGCTGACTGAATTTGAATTATTTGTTGACTAAGTCTACAGATGACCGCATCTGTAATTTTTCCATAAATAAACAATTATTTATTGCAAAAATCAACATTTCCCGGAGTTGTTACTGTGATTCTTAACCCTGAAGACGAAGCTTCAAGCCAAAAACAAAGCCTTATAATTCCGTAGCTCATGATTCAGTACTAAAGATAGATCATGTTTAAAATAAAATAGACTAGAATACAAAAAAACGTGTAATATGTAGAATATTTACAGTTACAATTGAGGCTTCTCATGGAAAAAGCTTCAAACAATGCGTTTGACATCTGATAATTCATTTTCTTTTTTAGATACGAAAATCAAGTGTATTACGACTATCACAGTATTGTGAGGGATGCTTATAATTCCGGCTGTTCTACAAGTGACACTTATGGTGTGAAGTCAGTGCAAGTTGAAAACTGTTATTGTGACACTGATTTTTGCAATCAATCTAGTTCGATAAACGGAAACGTTTTAGTCGTTATGTTGATTGTCTTGTATTTTATAATTTTTTGAACTGTGTGAAATTTTCCGAAAGCTGTGCGTTACAATCTGACACTGAATTTATTCGTACTGCATCAGTATACGTTTTTTAATAATAAATTTAAATATATAAACTTGTAGCAATGAAGCAAATAATAAAACCTGTTACCATAATTTTCGTATTATTCCCTTGTTGTGTTGGGCTGAGAGACCACACATGCTGAAGCACCCTGTATATTCCAATAGCGAAATAAAGTCGTTCGGCCACCAGAGCGGAGTTATTAAAATGATAAAGGTGAGATTGGATTACAGGAAAAGTATATTATTTTGATTTGTTACCAGACGGAACTTTATAATTTATATAGGTATTTGGCAACGCTGAGATTTAAATGGTCTTAACACCTGGTTTATTAGACTTCTACTTGTAAAACATTTTAAATGCGATACGTATTGGTCGTCGTAGCTACTAGTTGATTTCAAAACAACAACCCCAGTCATTAGAAAAAAAACTTATTGATCGGTACGGTAGAAGATCGTCCTCTAGACTGAACGCTGAACTTGGGTGATTGGGTGTCAAACATTTGATTTGAACACTAGCATTTTCTCTAAATCTTTTTCAATAAGACTAGGGAGTGCTTGTATGGAATTGATGACAAGCGCTTATCCTAGAATTCAGTTGGTTTGGCTGTTGAAAGTTTTAATCAATCTACATACAGTGCTTTTCAACCCCCTCCCTACTTATTTTTTATCGTCATGTTAGCAAGCTGGAATTCGGAGTGATGAAATTGGTACATAAGAACTAAATACTATATATTTTAGGGTAAAAAGGGGTGGCTGGGCGCCATTCTGGAATATGATTCAAATGGATTGAGGGTCAATACTATATTTATCCTGTACGGATATAAAGTACTGGTAAGGGACCTCAAAATAAGGTATCAAAGGTATCATGTTATCACCTATCTCCCATTCCTTTTAAAAAATTCGTTCAATATAGCGTCGAAGCCACCTTAAAATTTTCAACTATCGCTTTTATGTTAAAATATAGTATACATGCATTAATTCCACCAGCCAGAATATTATCTTGCCAACTTAACCTGTTCAAAGGAAGTAGGCGGTGGCTGAAACGCACTGTCTATAATATCTCATAACCTTTTTAAAATATTATTAATATATAATAGTATGAATATAAAGCTGATCTCGGATTCCTGAATCTAAACCTCGAGATATATATATATATATATATATATATATATATATATATATATATATATATATATATATATATATATATATATATCTATACGAGCACTAGTCATTGCCATTGCCAACGACCAGTTGGGCAAGAAATACAATTAATTATTAATTGGGAAATTAGCAAACTTTAGGCTTAGTAAACTCTTTTAACGATAATCTCGAACTTTCGGCACGCTATGGTGCCATCATCAGGAGCTGAAACAAATATGAAGCTAGCAACCAATAGTGAAAAGATTTAAATTTTCAGACAACTTACTCGTCGCTGAGGTTGCAGCCAAATGGTGTCTCAAAACGAAAGCGTGGATGAGAGCACCAACCAAAAGGACGGACACATTGGGTTTGTTGGTAACGACGGAAATTGTAGTTAGATGTTACCAACATATATCAATACACTCGAACAAATTAAAAATTATCGAACATTTTCAAATTATTAAAAAGTAGTACTGCATTTTGGGGGAAAAACGGCAGAGTCCCGTCTAACCTCCTACGTCTGTTTCACGTGGAGACAATGAGCCAACCGGAAGAGTGATGCATCGACAGATGACAGATGACCGTCGCGATGGAATGTGGAAATGTAAAAATCATTGCCAAAGTTCATATTATATATTTCAATGTATGTATATAATTATATATATTTACCCTACCTATATCTGTATCTACTTTTGTCCCCCTTCGGTACTATGTAGATCATGGGACGACAGAGAGATGCAAATATGTGATATTAGTTTAAAGATAATCACGGATTATAAATGTGTTCTGTGTATCTGGAGTTTCTGTCAGAAAGCATCCAATGTTTAGTATCCACGACGCTTACTGTACTTTCCCATTAAAATGAAATTTTAACGTGTCCAGTGTTGTCCATCCCGTTCCCACGCTACACCGTCTCTATTACGCTGCACGTTCTTAAGCTATTTAATTGTTGCACTACCTGAAAACTAATCACCGTTGTAAAACAGCATTTGGCCGTCGAATGGAATGTGGCCTTTGACTTAACAGGTCCTTAAGTTTCACAATGATTCCAACTACGAACACCTACTAATGCCAAACAACATAATTTTTCCTGTATTTAACCCACGCTGTCGTTTGTTTATAGTCCAGTACTAAAGTTCCTATGTTATTTGATTGTGGGAATCTCTGGCTGAAATAGTACTGAATAATGAAAACTAATTAGACTGTTAGGTTTAAAATATGAAAAACCTTCCTTACTCCTGTTGTTCGGGGTAAGGCGATAGACAAATTTTATTTTCATCATTGTTTCTCATCAAGTAACATTCCTGTGTGTTTTATACCAAGGTTATTGTAATTCGATATGACCTCAGGGGATGATTTTTTCAACGTCTGTATCATAATGAATCAGTATGAAAATACTTTTTATATCATTTTACTCCCAAAGATTCCCAACTTAGAGGATGTCTAAAAGATATCACTTCTTAGGTTAGGCTTTGACTAATGAATCAATAAAACTAACAATGAAATGAACCAGTTTCCAAAACCCACAGTGTCAACTGTATGCATCATGGATTATCGGACTTACAACAGACAGAAATTAGAGAACCGATTTGTTTAAATAAATTTCGTCGATGAGTTGATTTGTCCCCTCTGAACAGCTTCCGGTATAGAAAAAGTAAAGTCAACTGAAGCTCTCTGGAAATGTGAGCAGTATTCCGGCTCATGCCTCATCTGGGCTTCTTAGATCTAAGCTGAAAATGTTTCCAGCAGCTGCTACAATTGACGAAATATGTCTTTTTCAAGTCATGCTTCTAGCCGGAACGGGTAGCTTCCTCGCAAAGTTCTGCCTTCGATTACAAACGGGTGAACTTTTGGGTCGGCAGTTAAGGTGGACCACCGGTTACTAAAAAATATAGACCTCCTGATTTATTCATAAAATTAAATAAGTCGTTGTACAGATCCTGAAAATGGCTGACTTTGAGGGACATATGATTTGCAAGGGCACACGTTCGAAGCGCGATCCAGTGGCGTAACATAGGATCGGTATTCGAGATCGGAGTCCACAATTTTATTTTTGAATACTGTTCAGTGGCGAAATTATGAAAAAGGGTCTGGTGGGCAATTTCCCAAGAGAGTCGCTTGCTCGGTTCATCATATAAATCAAGTGATAAATTGTTAGGTTATTTTGTTTTATTTGCTACAGCAAGACAGAATCATCTAACTTTTAATCCTTGTCTTGTGTTTCGTAGAAGGAGCGACATGTTACTTCTCAATAAGGCATTGCGATTAGAAATGGCGATTTCATGAGGTTCATTTATGAAATATATAGTTTATTTCCCTTTAATTAATTATAATAATTGCATACGATTCTCAGCACCCGGGTAAAAACAGGAAAACATGTATCTTGCTGCTACTGTAGGGGCTTGATTTGATTTGGTTTATAGTTATCGATATGTCCAGTTCAGAATTATCAAAGTATGAAGATGTGTGAAGAAAAAAATGCAGCACATTATGCTGCACTAGAAATGCATTGCATATAAAAAATAAGTTTTCATCGATTTGAGGAAAATAACTTGGATATAACTAAAAAGTGGCATAGTATGCTGTTCATGATTAAAAAAATAGTAAGGTTACATACATATACAATAAAGAGAAAATCGGAGTCGAAAAGTGTTAAAACATCCAACTTGGAGTTAGACAGTAACAACCCATGCCACTGGGACCGAAAGTAATACATAAACATAATCTATACTAATCTAAGAAACGAAAACTTGCTCTTCTGCCTTACATGTGTAGCTGTGATTCACCATTATTAATTTAACAAACACGCAAAAAATAAATCACTGCGTCTGAAAATAAATAAAATTCAAATTTCAAGTTGCTCCGTCAACACGAAAACTCACAATGACACATTCGAATGACGAATGAAGCTTTTACGAATCTTACACGATAACAACGTATGTGACGTTGTCAATTGTTACGGCTTCAGAGTCGTCCGACTAGTAGTCATAATAAATGTTTGCTAAAAATTCCGGGGAGATGTTTGCAAAACTCAGAAGCTAAACAGTCTAGATTTTTTAATAGTCTTATTCCAGTTGATAGTAAATAACTTAATTTGTCATAGTTAGTTTCAAAACTGTGAACTTATAGTCAACGCCAAACAAAGTGGCGTGCACGTCATCAAGGTGGGTGTGTTGAAAAATTTACATTGTTGCCAAACTTTTTGTAAAATAATAAAATTTATTATTTACATATCTAGGTTTATAAGCAATATTAACCTCAAATGAGAACAAAAATAATAGTATAATAAAATTATAGATCTGTACTTGCATAATCATTAAGTATGACAATTATTGATCAGATGACACTATGAAACTACCATATTTAATTGATAGCTTAAAGGTACTGAATAAAAATCCAAATGGGGTCCTCCAAATTTTATGCATGGTATTTATTTTACAGAATTCATACAGAAAAATGCATTCTAAAATTAGGTAAGCTACTGGTGTAAGCTTTTTCTGTACAATAAAGTTAGTCGGAGTTTCTTTCTTCAGCGCTGTCTGAATCTGAATCTTCATCACTCTCAAAGTTGATTATTAAAGGTTCGATGTCTGGTCGATCAAAAATTCGTTCTCTTTCATACCATTTAAAAATTTCTTGCTCAGTATGTCGAACACTATTTTTCCACATGTCTGGGGTAACCGTTTGTAGAGCCTCGTTCCACATATCCAAACAGTCTTTTTCACTGTTACCATCTCTACCAATATGTCTGTTATAGTAACCTTTTGCTATGCCCCAAATTAACTCAATAGGGTTAAATATACAATGGTAAGGAGGCAGACGAAGAACTTTGTGCCCATGTTGTTCCGCCAATTCATCAATCACGTATATTTTAGGTGGTTTGTTTCTAAAAAAGCAGTTATTTTAAGAATAGGAATAAACAAAAGAAATATAAACTGTCGACCAAAA